CACCTCATCAGGAGCATGCCCAGGCATTGTAGGGAGGTCATACAGGCACGTGGAGGCCACACACACTACTGAGCCTCATTTTGACTTGTTTTAAGGACATTACATCAAAGTTGGATCAACCTGTAGTGTTTTTTTCCACTTTAATTTTGAGCGTAACTCCAAATCCAGACCTCCATGGGTTGCTAAATTTGATTTCCATTGATAATTTTTGTGTGATTTTGTTGTCAGCACATTTCAACTATGTAATGAACAAAGTATTTAATAAGTATATTTCATTCATTCAGATCTAGGATGTTTTATTTTTGTGTTCCCTTTATTTTTTTGAGCAGTGTACACACACACAAACACACACACACACACACACACACACACACAGATACATCTGAATAGTATAAGAAGGTCTATGTTACATATCTAATTCTCTTATTGCCTTCCCAATATCTATTAGCCTGTATCACATATTTAAAGGAAATTTATTTTACTTTCAATTGAAGTCTCTGCTCTTAAAGAAATAAACATGCATGCAAATTAAGAATTAAGATATTTTACTATAATGCATAAACTGTAGGATTTATTAACTCTTACGAAGTCTAATATGGTAGAATAATACTTCTGGTTTAATAAGCCTTTGCTCTTTTTTGTATGAGAGAAGCAATAAAATAAAATGTTTTGATCTAGTTGACATTTCAAAACAATAATTATGGTTTACAATTAGTTAATTGCTATGGCTTATGAAGAGTAAACCACTGGTTTATAATTGACGAAACATCAAACATTCTTAATGGTGATATTTCACCTTCTTGCCTTTGGTTTTTTTTTAATGCTTGTTTTGCAAGTCTTTTGAAAATATCATTGTGGAAGGAATCCCTTGTTTTCATAAATTAGGGGCATGAAATCATAGCCAACATAATGACTATTTCTGTAGGTCATCCATAATTATATGTGTAGGCCTTCTTTTTTCCTTTGTTCTGCATTTTTACATTTTGCCTTTAATGAATCACACTTTCTAAGAAGGTGTTTTCTTAATTACCTTAGTCTAACAAGCTCTGTATATGTATTTGTTGTCTTATCCCCAGAAATACATGCATATGCTCTGAATCACCCACCCATTTTTTTTAACGTTAGGAATTATACAGAAAATGTTGACTCATTGGGGAAGAAATGTGGGTGAGTGAACCACAATGTGCTAGTTAGTGTGAGGGGGATACATATAGTGCCACAGTGAAAAAGCTAGTCTAAATCTTGTACAGAAATATTTTTGTAGAGGACTAATCTGTTAAGTGCATGTTTCTTACAAGTCAAATAGCACATTGTTGGACAGAATTAAGCATATATCTGAATTTAACTTTTCTCTAAATTTTCGATGTAAGACTAATTAGGCAGCAATCTACAAATTCTGGCCATCATATCCAACCTGTTTGTCTTGGAATTATGGGAACTTTGATGTGCCTGAAGGAAAATTAAAGTTGAGGAAAGAGTTTAAAGACTTATGCACTATGTTGTGTACAGGTAGTCCTTGACTTACAACCACAATTTAGCACAAAATTTCCATCACCAAGCAAGGTAGTTGTTCAGTGAGTTGGGTCATATTTTTCAGGATCCAGATCTGCTCCCCAGGCCTTGAGTTTGACACCCCTATCTATAATGACAGCATGAACAGAGCAGTTATTCAGCATTTACCTTGTAGATTGACTTGTGATTACTTTTCCTGAAAATAATGAAAATAATAAAAGTAGGGAAATCCTCAGTTATGTATAACTATTGGATATTTCCCAGGTTTTTTTCCCTTAATATTATCTCTTTGATATGGTATGTGATTTAAAAAACACTTAAACCTTGCACTTTGTTTAGGCAGCTTACATTCTCATGCACTTCTGTGACCGTCTATTTGCTGTCTAATCTTCTTTTCCCCCCTGCATTGTATTGTATTTACAGCTGATGGAGCTATACCAGCTAGGCACCTATCCTAGATAAACTCCTACTTTTGGCTTATATCATTTCCTTTTTTGCCCTGCTTGTTGCCTTTGGAGCCACTATGTAGCTAGATTATGCTTAAAATAGAAACCTTTCTGATTTTTGAAGCACTGATTTCTATTGAAATTTACAAATTAAAAAAATAAGATTTTGCATCTTGTTAGCTTATTACTCATTGCACTAATCAGAAAAAGAGCAAGAGTAAGAAACTGTAATTAGGAGAAAGAAAATGCTTCTAAGTTCTGCAGGTGCAATTAGAACTAAATCTAAATCTGTAAAAATTAGTAATTACTGGTCTGGCATTTGGAGATTTCTTACAGATTTCCTGAAGAAACTTACTGTGCCATTTTGATCACACCATAAAAATCTTTTCTTTAATCACGTTTATTTATTTATTGGCCTTTATGTTTGCAAATTTCCGTATGCATATAAACATAGCATAATATAGAAGTTCATGAAAGTTCATAGATGTTCACAATCTTTTGTTTTAGCTAAATTTGAGAGTTTGCTGGAAAAATACAATCCTTGCTGGGTGATGAATTGTTTGCCCTTTAGGTAGATAGAGAAAAAAATGCTTTTGTTTGAAATCAATATAAATGTTTATTAGCTTGAAAAGAATTGGTTTAATCATGCTGCTAAAGATCAGCTCAGGCCTACATATTGTCACACTTAAGTCTTTGCTTAAATTGATTTTTAAATTGTTATTTGAAACTACCAACAAACATTAAATTACATGTAATGTAAGGAAAAAGGTTGTTATATTCATAGTTATAATATAGATAGAATTGGAGAATAATTCACTCCTTCCCTAGGGAGTTGGAGGTGCGTCATATTTTCACCTAATCTTACTAACTTATTTATGCATTTGAAATGGAGTAGACTTGCTGTAATATAAATTGCAGGTCGGTACATAAATATAGTTTAGGTCACATTTCATCTAGGTGATCACCAGAAAACAACTTGGTGGCTCATCATTAGCATCACTGATGTTCCATCAGTAATTTTCTCTACAGTGTTTTTGTTACATTGAAAAATCAAGCTAGAGTCGTGGCCAGTAGATATGAGAGAGGAAATTGGTGGTCGATGGTCAAGGCATGGAAAAGGTTAGTAAACAGACAAAAGAGAAGTTGCTGTACGTGATTTGGGGATGTGGAGAAGAGGGAGAAGACAAACTGGATGATTGCTAATTTGGCTAGTGTGGCCTCTATTGTCTTCCTGTTCACAATCTTTTGGAACTAAAGCAAGAAACATTTAGAAGAAAAGACAGCATTCCCCACAGGTCTTGGGAATAGTTGTTCCTAAAAGGAGATACGATTTTGTATTCCTATGTATGATCATTACAGTTGAGAGCTCAGAAAACTCTTGAGAGCTAGCAAGAGATTAAAAAAATGAATTAAAGTTATAATTCCTCACTCTATAATTTCCCTTCTTGGTTAAAGACCTTTTATGCCAAAGATTGGATTGAAATGGGTTTCTAAACATTCAATATGTAAACATGTATGGAATAATCAGTAGCCAGTTGCTTTTTGTGCCTTACCTAGAAAAAGGATGCATTCATCCTGAGGATCTTAAGTTTTGTATATAGTTCTTTAGGACTGGATTATAAATCTGGGAATATCTTTTGGAATAAATCCAGCAAAAACTGTTTGTGTGCAATCATTGTTTTGTTATTCCAAATAAATGAAATACCAAACCCAAAGTCAATAGAAGCTAAAAAAACCCTGCATTTAAAGCAAGATTGTCCTAATCTTCCTCCTTTTCAGGATCATGTTGGTGCTCTTTTGGAGATAACCATAAAACAGTGCAGCATACTCATCTGTTTCCTTGACAACAAGACTTGCCAAAGGCAGTGCAGGATTTTCTCCTCCTTTCTTCTTAACCTTTACAAACTAGCTGATGATTTCCGATATTTACTTTAAATGACTAAGATGTGTATCAAGTTAAAAGTATACAATTAATTGAAAAATTAAAGTAATAGTTTACAACATTTCAGTGTATTGATATATTATTGAAAAGTGTAATTATTTAAAGCATTTTTTCATCCTGGAACACAAATATCAGAGTCCCAGTTAGCATGTAGATGAAATAAACATAATAAACTTTTTTCAACTCATCAATTTTGCAAAAAGAAAAGATAATTTTTAATTTTTTTACTTGGATGCATGCAATAAAATTAGCACTTTAATTATTTGTGCTGATTTTATTAAGAATTTTTAAACACCAGCTTCTTTTTCCTTTAATTTTTTCTATTAAACAAAATACAAGAAATTTATTTGTTGCAAGAGAAGTATGGCCTTGCTATGATTAAATAAAGAAAACTTTATTGTTGTCAAGTACATATTAAAATTCAACAGAATAAAATGGGATTATATTCTTAATTCTGTTATGCAACTAAAACACTTAATTTATACTCAAACAATTGTCAAATTAATTCAAACAAAAGAGAAAATTGTAATTATTTTAATAGTTATACTGTTAAAAGAAATATATTTTCTATTTAAGTGCTATTACAATTGTTGGATGCTTAATCTAAGTACACTTTCTATTTCTTAGGAAAGCCACTCGAGTTCCAGAATTCCAGCATTCTTGTGGTGTCTGATATTCCCAACTTGGCCTAATTTGAAGGGGTAGCAATAATGAAGAGAGTCATGCTAAGAAGCTCTGACTGGTTTCTGAGTATTACTTGGAACTTCCGTGCTTTTCTACTTCAAAGACACTTATTTTATACTTCGTCATTTCCAGAATTTGAACTCCATATGGAAGAATGATAGATTCGATCCATTAATGAAATACCTTAACTTTATAAATTTATTAAGATGATTCAGTTTTTACTGATCATTATTTTCATTAGAGTGGGTTTAACCAAAGAATCATTTGGTCTACTATCGTGTTTTCAATAGTAGAAACTGAATCTTGGATGAATTCACGTTCACTTCATGGAAATAGTCATTTTTGCTTAGTTTAATGGGAGGAGGCTTTTTGTAGGCATTTGAATTTAACTGACTTTGATTATAATCTCTCTTTAGGTTTTCAGTACCTACTCTGATGAAGAATACGACCGGAGAAATGAAACAGTTGATCCAATATCTTCATCAGCTGAATATGAATTAGAAAAACGTGTGGAAAAATTGGATCTTTTCCCAGTAGACATTGAAAAAGGTATATATTCTGGAATTGCCATAGGGCAGGAGTTGAATGGTTTAATATATTAAGTGCTACTTAGATGTGCCCTTTAAAAAAATTGGCATTTGGATATAAAAATTAGCTGTATATTGCTCCTTGAATCTATAATAAGTAATCCATAATATAATTTATTGACATAATTTCATGAGTTTTTTATTTTTGTGAGAGAGTAAATTCATATGAATTTTAATCCTGCGCTCACAGCCCTTAAAACTCATTGGCTTCAGTGTAATTTTTAAAGAAGCTTAACTAAATGCCTTGAGATACAAGTTGAGAAAAAGAATTTAATGTATATACTGTTTACATATGTTTAAATAAAGAGATGAGATATTTGGTTAGTATGCATCCCAAAAAATATAAATTATTAAATGATGATAAGTTAACCACTGAGACACTAGTGAATCTTTGTTTGTAAAAATGTCGGGCCTTAAGCCCCATGTTTGAATTCCAATTTCTAGGAAGGAAATCAGAAGAACTAAGGTAAGTGCTTTCCACTTTCTGGAAGATAAACAATTTAAAAATGACTGTGCATTAGGAACTTCTCCCTAAATGTATCTACTTGTTCCACTACGTTGTATGGAGTGAGTGTACTACAGGACACTCTCTATAAATAGTTTCATCTAGTAAGACTTAGAAGGAATGTCTTCTCCAGAATTGCCCTTGCCCTGTAAAATAGCTGTCTCCTTGAGATCAAGTAAGGCTCTCATTCTTTTGACCTTCTGAAAAGCCTTGGTGTGTAAGTCTTCCCCAAAGTATTGGGCCAAAATAAGGTTGTAACTGTCAGAGCAAGGAATAAAAAATGGTACAAGGCATTACTCCAGAACAGTTTCTTCATTGTTATTCTCCTATAGATGGGAATCTTGCCAGGCTAAAGCATACATTTGCATAGATATATCCTATGAAAGGTTGGGGGTGTTCACTCTGGCTGTTTTCCTTCATATCAAAGATTCCATGCTGAGCTGTCTCTTTGCTTCTTGGAAAGGCCTTCTCCTTACTTTGTACTACATTTCATCACAATTTCCCGCATTGACCGAGAGCTCAAAAATAGAGATGGCTCTGTGGCCCCACGCTTGTGCAGGGTCATTTGCAAAAATGAATCAAGCAAACGTAAATTCATTTATACTATAAACTCACTCGCCAAAACCAACACCATCCATAAGAACCTCCGTTGCCGCCCTGACCTAACCATACAGCAACGTGCCCGCTCCCGTGCACTCCGCATCGAACTCAAAAACCGTCTAGACAATGGAGAGAAGGACCTGTACATTGACTACCATGCTGACTGTATCAAAAGTAAACCACTCAACCCAATACTCAGCTTTTACCCTCAACCACAACCCTACCTCAACCCATCCACCATCACCCAAGACTAGGCACGCACGCCCCCAACTACCTCAATTCCAACTACTGCCGGCCTTAAATGCAAACTACTCAATGCAAGAAGCCTCGTGAATAAAATACCTGAATTTCTCTTCCTCCTAAATATGGCTAACTTCGACATTATATTTGTCTGTGAAACATGGCTCAATGCATCTCTCCCCGACTCCATTACCACAGTAAGAGACTATCCTGTTTACAGATCAGATCGTGAAAATTGTCGAGGAGGTGGAGTTGCTATATTCTATAAAAAATCCTTACATCTAAAAAATATCCAAGTTACCCAGGAGTTTGCCCTTCCTGAAACCATCATCTGTGAACTATCCTCAAATATCACAATTCGATTCTTACTATGTTACAGAGCACCTGATTATGACATCGAACATGTAAACAAGCTAAATACATTACTAACATGGGCTGCATCCTGCCCATACCCTTTTATCCTTCTTGGTGATTTCAATCTACCTCATATTAACTGGACCCTAAATGATTGTACAACTGAAATCATACACACAACCTTCTACAATGCTATTACAAATCTGGGACTGGAACAACTAGTAACCAACAACACTAGACTAAACAACTGCCTCGATCTCATCTTCTGCAACAGTTTGAACCTAATCTACGGAATACAATCTAAAGAACCCTTTTCCAGTAGTGACCACAATATGATCGACTTTTGTCTCAACATACATCCACACAAAAATCACCACAATGATGTAATCCCCTATTGTAACTTCAAAAAAGGCAACTATGATCTTATAGACAACGATCTCTCATCCCTTGATTGGCAATCTCTATTCACTGGATGCAATACCGTTGAAGACCATTATAACATATTTTTACTTGAAGTCAAAAGAGTCATCAAACTATATGTACCAACAACAACTCCCAAAACAAAACAAAAAAGCAGATTACCCATATCAATAAGGAAACTTCAATCCAAAAAGAGATCACTCTGGCGGAAAAACAAATCTGGTCACGTTGCCAATTTCAAAAACCGATACAAAAATCTATGCCACCAGATAAAGACCAAATGCACCAATTATCACATTAAACAAGAGGAAAACCTTCTAAGCACCAATTCCACCCGCGCTTTTTACAATTTTGTAAACAACAAACTAAAAGACTCAAGGTCCATCCCTCCCTTGATAGGACCTGATGGTAAAGACTGCAACGACGACACCATTAAAGCCAACATCTTTAACACATTCTTCGGCTCAGTATTTGTAAACAGCAATGGATCATGCCCAATATTTCCTAGCCGTACCACAGATAACAACAATGATCTAATACATTTCGATTTCACAGAAGACAATGTTGAAAAAGCAATACGCAACCTAAAACCATCTCTATCTATTGGACCGGATGGAATATGTGCCTACTTCTTAAGAAAGCTATCCACTGCCATAGCCAAACCTCTAAGCATAATCTTTGAAAAATCTTTCAGGACCAGCTCCTTGCCTAACCTATGGTCACAAGCCACAGTCATCCCCATCTTCAAAAAGGGAGACCCAAGCCTAGTTGAAAATTACAGGCCAATCTCCTTATGCTGCGTCACCTGTAAAGTCATGGAATCAATTATTAACCAATCCATCATCCTTCACTTAGAGTCAAATAACCTACTCTCCAATAAACAATTTGGTTTCAGAAAAAAACTATCCTGTAATCTGCAACTCTTACACTGCAAAAACATATGGACGACACAACTCGACCAGGGCAAAACAATAGACGCAATCTACATAGACTTCTGTAAAGCCTTTGATTCAGTGGTACACGACAAACTACTCCTAAAAATAAAATCCTATGGTATCTCTGGACAACTGAATAACTGGATAGAAGCATTCCTGTCAAACAGACAACAAATGGTCAAAATCGGGAGCGTCCTATCAAATCCAGTACCTGTCAATAGTGGTGTTCCCCAAGGCAGTGTTCTAGGACCAACTCTCTTCATACTCTACATAAACGACCTCTGTGATCATATTAAGAGCAATTGCGTTCTCTTCGCTGATGATGTAAAGCTGTTCAATACCACAGACAATACTGCTACCCTACAAAAAGATCTTGACTATGTATCCGAATGGTCAAACAAATGGCAACTTCAAATCTCAACAAATAAATGCTCTGTCTTACATATTGGCAAAAAAAATCAGAAAATAAAATACAAGCTGAATAGTCAAGATCTTGTTGATGACCCAAGCTCTGTAAAGGACCTTGGAATACTCACCTCTAATGATCTAAGTGCTAGAGCACACTGCAACTACATAGCCAAAAAGGCATTAAGAGTTGTTAACCTAATCCTACGTAGCTTTTTCTCTGGTAATATCACACTACTAACCAGAGCATACAAAACATTTGCTAGACCAATACTCGAATACAGTTCATCAGTCTGGAACCCACACTACGTATCTGATATTAGCACAATTGAGAAAGTCCAGAAATATTTCACAAGAAGAGTTCTCCACTCCTCTACTCGAAATTCTAGAACTAGAAATTCTAGAACTAGAAAACCTTGAATTACGCCGTCTTCGTTCTGACTTAAGCATGGTATACAAAATCATACATTGCAATGTCCTACCTGTCAATGAATACTTCAGCTTCAACCATAACAACACAAGAGCACACAATAGATACAAACTCAAAGTAAACCGCACCAAACTTGATTGCAGGAAATACGACTTCAGCAATAGAGTGGTCAATGTCTGGAATACTCTACCCGACTCTGTAGTTTCTTCCCCAAACCCCAAAAACTTTAACCTTAGACTGTCTACTATTGACCTCACCCCTTTCCTAAGAGGTCTGTAGGGGGCGTGCATAAGCGCACCAACGTGCCTACCGTCCCTGTCCTATTGTTTCTCTTATTCTTTTATTTTTCTTATATGTAACCATTTCATGTATTCACAACTATGTATACATTTATACTTATTATCTTGTAAACAATTGGCAAATCAAATAAATAAATAAATAAATAAATAAACAATAAGTTCAGATGTAGGCAGATCTTGTTTTGCATTACTAGGAATTACTTTGGTGTTGGTTCAATGGTTTTATTTTATGCTTTATTGTGCCATTGTGCGCCACCCAGGGTTTAGTTTAGTTTAGTTTATTGTCATTGCACCTCGTACAACTAAATCAAATACCATCTTTAGTGCACATCACGATCATGAAAATAAACAGAAACACACATCCTTCACACTCCACACATTGAATTGAAAAACCCTGACACCACACCAACATTGTACTATACAGTAGAATTCAACAGGTGGCCATGTAAGTCTACTTCAGGGGTCTTCAAACTTGACATCTTTAAGACTTGTGGACTTCAACTTCCAGAATTCCTCTTCCAGTCATGTTAGCTCATGAATTCTAGGAGTTGAAGTCCACAAGTCCTAAAGTTGCCAAGTTTGAAGACCCTTGGTCTACTTTTTTGCCTACATGTATAGATTGACCAATACCAAAGTTCAAAGTTGGTATTGAAAGGGGCAATTAAATGTTTTAAAATGAAGCAGGGAAAGTGTCACCTCTCACACTGTTCCAGTTAAAAACCTTCTGTGAAGTTCCATTTCCAAGAAGTGTGAACATTTATCATCAGAAAAAAGGCAGAGTGTCTCCACAGCAGTTACAACGCCACTTTTTAATATTTGCTTCAATAAATTAAAAACATATGGAGTGATTGATTATTGACAGATGGACCAGATGAAGATATACTATCTGGGGCTTCTAGAGGAAAGGTGCAGTATAAATCTAATAAATATATAACAAATCAGTTACCTTGGCACCACAGCACTGTCTGTCATCCTAGTAACAGTCATTTGCCACTGTGCTCCATTTTTCCATTCTTTTTCCTTCTTCATTTCTTTTATAAGACATATATGCCAACCTTTTATTTTTCTCTATTTTTAAGGGAATAATTTCTCCTGTCTCATTTATTGTGCTGCAAACAATTTTTGTAAATTATCTGCAGATCTGTAAAAAATACTTTTAATCCTAATATGGCCCTATTATTAAATATATGTATATGTAAGATTATATTAGACAATATTGCCAGAGGATTTTTGCTAAGTCTATAATGCTGGGAAAAGTGGAAAGAAACAAAACAGAAGGACCAAACTGAGACAACTCATTTTAGAGAAAATATTATCAGCATAGTGATTAAGTGTTAACACTAACTTGATGGCACATCTTTCTTTCTTTCTTTCTTTCTTTCTTTCTTTCTTTCTTTCTTTCTTTCTTTCTTTCTTTCTTTCTTTCTTTCTTTCTTTCTATTATTCATTCATTCATTCATTTCCAAAGAGATCAGTGGTCATATAGTGAGGAAGATTCTCGAATGCTTGCAAATGATTACTGGGATCTTTGAGTTTGCAGAAAAAGAGTCTTAATGATATAGTTGTTTTTGTGTAACAAAAAAATACCTGTACCAGTTTCTACAAAATGAACGTATATTTTGCAATGAGCTAACTTTTCTGAAACAATTCTCATAATGTACAGATATAAATTGGGGTAGTTGGTGGCTGAAACCTGTATTAGAATCTTGGATTTTATTGCAAAGGTTTATAGGGTTAAACCAAACAGTGAGAAATGAAGTAAGTTTGAAAAATTCACGGGTGGAAGACCATCCATTGAATCACTATTGTATCTGTATAAGTATAACCTAGCACTGATGATGTTTTTTTTTTCTGGTGAGACTAGTCTATCAGGTAAACCTGGTCTACCCAACTAAGGGAGGGAGCATATTGCTTCCACTCTCACCTTTCAGCCCCAATCTAGGAACCTTCGCAGGCAGTCCCTTTCGTGACAAAGTATTTTTGTATTGAATGTATATTTTACCGACACTGATGATGTTACCTAGTTTTGTAATGAAACGTCTGCAAGAAAACCACCAAGCTCAGAAAGCACCAGGGACTCCACAATTCAATCCTGAGCTGCAAATATTTATGTATATTTATATGTACTTTTGTACACAAAATTTGAAATCAATTAGAAAGTATAGGATTATTCCTATGGCACTAATTCCTAATTAGCTTCATTCAATTTGTTTTTCAGATGAGCAAGGATTTGGTATTACTATTATTGGAATGGGAATTGGAATAGAAACAGGTTTTGAGAAGCTAGGTATATTTGTAAAAACCATTACAGAAGATGGGCCTGCAGAAAAAGATGGCAGGTAAATATGAATGATCATTGTTTGACGTATCACTGAAAATTAAAGTGTATTGTGGTGTACACTTCTAAAAATTACAAAATTAATAGAGCCTATAAATAATAAGTGTGTGTTTTTCATTGAAAGTTAGTATTTATAAATTCTGTGGTTTTATTAGTGATTTAATCAAACATCACATTTGGTTTTATTTTGACCTTTCATGCTGAAAATTAAATCATATTGAAGTGTAAACATCTAAAAATTAAACATATTTGAGTGTCTTAACTTTCATCACATAATTTTTTTTTAAACTTACATCAACATGACATCAACCATCCAACATTAGTGAG